AGCACGCCTTTGGTTTGCTGCAGCTGCGGCAGCAGCAGCAGGAAGAGGAGACACGGCCAGAGGAGCCTTTTGCTCAGCAGCAGCTCTCTTCTCTCCCGCCGGTGCAGCAGCAACTCAGCAGCAGCAGCAGCAGCAGCAGCAGCAGCAGCGGGAAAGATGAGGTTCTTGTGCGCTCGTTTGTTGAGGGGGGGGCTGCGGCGCTGCAGAGAACAAACAAAGCAGCAACAGCTCTCCGGCTGCAGGTGTATTGTGATGCATTTCAGGTGTATAGGCACCTCATGCCGCTGCTGCTGCTGCAGCAGTTTGCTGCTGCTGCTGCTGCAGGAGCTGCCCTTGGGCTCGGGGCCTCCTTAGGCAGCGCCGCAGCCAGCGCACAGGGGGGGGCCTTCACTGCGCTTCTCTATGCCGATCGCATGCAGCAGCAGCAGCAGCAGCAGCAGCAGCAGGAGGACACGCAGCAAGAGCAGCAGCAACACGAGCAGCAGCAGCAGCAGCAGCAGCTCGTGGTGCGTGGAGATGACAGAGCAACATATGTGGCGTTGATTGCTGCGGCATTGCGGGCCCGTAAAGAGCTGCAGCAGCAGCAGCAGCAGCAGCAACAGGAGCAGCAGCAACAGCAGCAGCAGCAGCAGCAGCAACAGCAGCAGCAAGACACAGGAGCTGCTGCTGGCGTGAGCAGTGCGCTCGTGGGGGTACTGCTGAGCACGTGGGTGCAGCCAACCACTTCAGCAGCAGCAGCAGCAGCAGCAGGAGCAGCAGCAGCAGGAGCAGCAGCAGCAGCAACAGGAGCAGCAGCAGCAGGAGCAGCAGCAGCAGCAACAGAAAAGGCAGGTCACGCGGAGTATCAAAGGAAGCTGAGGGAAGCAGCAACAACTGCATGCGCGTTGCTGCTGCAGAATAACTTTGTTGCTGCTGCTGATGGTGAGACACACAACCGCAGCATAGTGTACATACACCGCAGTTGCTGCAGCAGCAGCAGCAGCAGCAGCAGCAGCATAAACGAGGCTTTCTGCCGGCTCATTTGTGTTTCTGCGTTGCTGCTTTTGTTGTGCTGCTGCTGCTGCTGTTCCTGCTGCTGCTGCTGTTGCTGCTGTTGCTGCTGCTGCTGCTGGTGTTGCTGCTGCTGCAGTGCCGCGGCTGCTGCAGGCCCTGTGGCGTCTTGTGGGCCGCAAAGGCAAGAGCAGCAGCAGCAGCAGCAGCAGCAGCAGCAGCAGCAGAGGCACCCGGGACTTCGATCTGCTGCGGCGCGCCTGCATACTGGCGGTGGCCCTTGCTGCTGCTAGACCCAGCAGCAGCTCAGCAGCAGCAGCAGCAGCAGCAGCAGAAGCAGCAGAAGCAGCGCATGCACAGCGCGTCAGCGCTTGTCTCGCCATCCATTTCTTAAGACATCCGTATGCTCATATATTTGACCAGTTGCTGCTGCTGCTGTTGCTGCTGCTGCTGCTGTTGCTGCTGCTGGTGTTTCTGCTGCTGCTGCTGTTGGCGTTTCTGCTGCTGCTGCTGCTGTTGTCGCGACTGCTGCTGCTGGTATTGCTGCTGCCTTCGCCGTTGAAGGTGTTGCTGCTGCTGGTGAGGTTTCAGGTGTTGCTGCTGCTGCTGGAGTTGCTGCTTGTGCTGCCACTGCTGCTGCTGCTGGTGTTGCTGCTGCTGCTGCTGCTGCAAGTTGCTGTGCTTTTGCTGCTTCTGCTGCTTCTCAGGTTTCCTAAGTTGAGGGTGATAGCAGCAGAGCAGCTGTATTCTTTTCTGCTGCTGCTGCCTGCAGCAGATGACGCCTCGCTGCAGCAGCAGCAGCAGCAAGAACAGCAG